ATGATGATGATGATGATGATGATGATGATGATGATGATGATGATGATGATGATGATGATGATGATGATGATGATGATGATGATGAACCTACTGGTCAGAAAAGCCAGTAGATTCGAGGTCCAACTAGGTCCTCAAAGCCCACAGGGGCAAACTTGCTATCGCATGGCAGGCAACAGAAAACCGAACAGTTCTACTGAGGCACATTCAAGTTTTTCCTCGGACCGTGCAATTCACTAGGAATAGGGAGTCTCTGAATTTCGCTCAGCATATATTTTGTTGTAATTAGCTTTGTTCCCTAGGGTCCATTCCCACTTCCAAACCACAGATGTGAAGCACCAAACTCAAATTTCACTCCTTTCCAGATAGATTAACGACGCTTGTTTTCTGGACCATGCCAGTGTTTGATATCCGGAGTGCTGTCAGAAGAGACATTCGTGTTATCAGCACACTAGATAACTCTGAGGGGACGGCATGTTAACCTTGGTGTGCTTTGACGTTATCCAGTTAATTATACTGGTTTTAGCGGTTCATTTTCCCGCTAAGCAAAAATTCCAAGTTTACGGAAGCGTCGATTCAAATGATTAAGGCAGCAGGCGTGAACTCGGGGTATATAGTGGGCATCCGCCGTATGGTGTTTTCTTCTAGGTAAGTTAGACAATGTATCAAGATAAAAGATAATAATCGTTCAGCTGTGACACCCTTTCGGTGCCTGGCTGCCATGCCACCCGAAGGAAGCATGGGGGCTGGGATACCGTCAGGCTGCCCAAGCCTAAGCGGGGGAAATCGAAAGGCAGAGGTCGGGTTCGAACCACGGACCTTCCGGTCCGTAAATTCGCGCTATAACCAGTGTGCCATCGCGCCCATTTATCCACATAATATCTTAAAGATCGATCCCGGTGTCTGGTTGCATTTATCAAACTGGCCATACAATGTAAAACTTATTCAATCGGAGTGAACGTTTGCAACGGAGATTGTAATGACGTCGATGTTTTTTTTTGGCGAGCTAGACAATGCGCTTAGAGAAGTTTTATTGTCAGCCTAAATAACGTTATCGGTGCGTTGTGGCTGAAAATGTGCACTCACTCACAATACACAGGCGAGGGAACGCTTGTAACCGCACTGCCCAGCTCAGTGAACAAACAAACAGCCGTCATATACAGTCTATCGCCAGAGTGGACAACATCATTGTGTTCTGACTTTTTGAACCACACACCGCACACAAGGAACACGGGGACACTGATCAACGGTTATTACGCAAGTGTGGTCTCAGCTGCCTCAAGTACATAGTTTATGGTGTGAACCTCACGGAAACCACCACCACAATGGTTGACACCTGCCCCAAAAACTCGCACAAGATCAAACTAAACTCAGAGCCTCAAGATAATGAAAACGAATGCTGCACTGTGAGTGTTTGTCTCAAAAGTACACCCAAACACTCAGCACTCATCAGGACTGTGCTTTGCAACGTGGAATATTACAGACACCATCCACCCAAGAATTATTCTGTCATCGGCCGTGTTACGTAAGATTTGATGGCCAGACAGCCCTTGATTCCAAAACACTTGTCCCAAGGATATTCACCAAGGCCTCTGGAAAGAAGACCCTTACAGCTTTCATTCTTTTCTTGATGGGAAGCTACACTATCAACTTTTCACTGATAACGCTAAAATGACATAAAAAATCAGAAGGATGATATGATATTTGAAATAATTTGAAAGTAGCGAAATATACTCATTTGCAAACTAATTTGGAACATAAGGTTGACGGAAACTCGGGGAATGCGCCTACCTGATAACTCGCAAGAGGGGCGAAACCGGTCGTGGGCTGTCGAGGAGTTTTCAGCAACCTTATGAGTAGTGGATTATAAAAATATAATTTGGAAGTAGTTTTTTGAAAGTTCATTAACAACATTCGCCAGATATTCCCCGAAAACTGTATAGCCATCTTGATTGCTGACATTCATTTCCTATTCATGTGCTGAATGGATGGATTGTACATTTCACCGGCAACTGATGTCATTTGCTCTAATTCGTCCGCGATCAGCGGCTGTCTGTGATGAAAACTGCGCAGATGGAGAAGTACGCTCTTTTATCCATGGGAGCCTATACTCCAGTTGTCTAAGTTGGCAGATGCATAGTCTCTCAACAGCGAAAATGTGTAAAATAATATCACTGTGTCCGTGAGAAAACGATCCAGGTCTCCTTGGCTGTCTTCAGCTGGAAAGCTCTGAGAGTACACTATCCAGGGTAGATCCGCAATGAATACTACTGCATGCGCACAGACTTTCGCGGACCAGAGTCAAGTACACGATAGTTTCTGCTCTCATCATCGTCATCTGTAAAAGCTGCGTACTCGTCGTATAGTGGTTGTAGCTGCCACAGTTTTGTTTACGATTGATTCATGGAGGTGGAGTAGGTAGCTGCACATTGGGGGCAGGGGCTGATAAATTAGGGCGTGGATACAGCACTGAAGGTGAACGGTCACGTGGGGGGTTTAGTAAGGAAGCTATGCATTAAAGGCAATAGCTTGGATGCATGAGCGCCATTGAGGGCGCGACTGAGCCATGTCTGACAGTGTCTCTAACCATTGATATGGCCCGTCTCGGGGTCCCCATCCAGGAAGACGGTAATGACCATTCCAGCTGAGTTTGCTGATAATGGTTGCCACGTCATTGTTTGACCGCCTCTGGCTCTTTTACTCTTCACGTGGTTGTGCAAAAAGAGCCCTTCAAGGGAGTCGGTCGACTGACATACGCAGCGCGTGGCCAAGCCAATGCAACATATGCAGTGTGATCAGTTCATCTATCAAGGGTGATTTATTTCTCCAGAATATCATTCAATGAACTTCAGAATTGCTGACCCGGTGTTCCCACCAGATTCGGGCAATGCTCCGAAGACAGCGATGGTCAAACAATGAAAGTCTTTTGACGTCCTAGGAGCGCAGCGCTCTGTATAATACTATGGAGCGCACCGCAGCATTGTAAACTCGACCGTTGGTGGAAAAGCTCATGTCTCACCTACGCCACAGAAGACGCAGTTTCAGAAAAGCTTCTCTGACCTTCCCAATCAAGATGGGAATATCATCTTTCGCGAGACTACCGGGACTGATACAGCTGTCCAGGTAAACAGATTTGTTTACTATCTCAATCGGCTCATCCGCAAGCATGAGGCTAGTGTTCGAGCCCACCCAGTCTTGCATTAGCACTTTACACTTTGCAGGTGTATAGCGCGTGCTTGATTAATTCGTATTACTGTGAAGCGCGTGAAAGAAAGCCCCTCAGGTCATCCATCTGTTATCTTTCTTGTAAATGCAAAGTAACGATTTTCGCTAATCAACCGTACAAAATCAAGATTTCGATGAGATTGCTTGACTTTATGTAATTTCCCGACATCTTTTCCACCTTTTACCGACACTGCAGTTCATGCCAGTGAGTCAAACTAATAAGTAGTATGTGAATAGGGAAGGACAGTGAAGTAGAGACCAAGAATGAGAGGTCGGTAAAGTTCAGGACATTCTACTAAGGGCCTGAAGTTAGAAGAGGCTGAAAAGTTTATGCTTTTGAAAGGTCTGTGGTATGCAGAGACATCGTTTATGCAGAACAAACGCACCAGTCACTAAAGGCGCCCCGTTTCAATACAAATTTTGCGGCGGGGTCTAGTGAAGAAGGCATACTTGCTTTCCCTGATAAGCCTATTCATTGTAGACATCAAGAACGGTTAGGTTTTTTTAGGGATATATATATATCGTTCATAAAACTCTGCAAAATTTGCCATCTGATGAAAGTACACTCCAAAAAGTGGTCAAATTGGTCCCAAAATCAGTCCAGAATTGGGTTACTGAGAGTTAATCAAATATGGGCAAACGCTAACCGGGAACATTCAGGAAGGAAATCTCAAGTGAATCAATTTCTTTTCTTAACGTACACAAGACGGGCCAGTTCTATCGATTAAGTGACAAACCTTCTGCATTTCCCATAAAAGGGTACAGTCACCATTCTCACGCTTACAGCAAATTTGCAGCCCCGAAAAATTTGTTCCTCTGTCGGAATTATCATTTCTTTATAGGCATCACTTCAGGAAGTTAGGAGCAGACCAAGAGATTATCTTTGCAGTGCGATGGACAATTTAATTGTGCTAACTTGTGCTAGCTTGGACGACAATAGAACTAACTGCGCTGCTTGGTGCAATGAAACAAAAATATTTGTTATCGAATAAATAAACATTAGTTAATTAGCTCCTTCCCTGTGATTGACTCCTCCTCCTCACTTTGCTAAAGTGTCACAAAAGTGTAACATTTCCACGAATAATATACTCCCACCGCTTGGTCATGACTAGCTAATTCATCCTTCGAATTAACATTTTAACGTTGTATCATCCTTTGTTTTTTTTTGTAAAGCGTAAATCAGTGACGCGAAGACCAACGGTGAGTTAGTCCTTGAGTCCTTACTCCGGTACACCCCCCATGGTCGCTGCCGTCATAACCCACATTCATTTATCTTACTTCATCTCAGTTAGTGCATATATTTACACATTTTTTTTACATACCGAGTTGTCTGCATACCCATTTTGCACTAGGAATGTTCAGTTCCTCCACGGTGCGGATATGTATAGCAGACACCGCTGCTGCTGAGCTATCACACGTTCAAGGAGGACTGGAGATTGCAGTCTGACTGGTTCAAATTTCCGAAAACACCCTTGCCGCTGGTGGTTTAGGGGAATATCGCTCACTTTGTGACTTCATCAGAAACAGGTCCTTAGCCTTTCACCACTTCTTTGGAGTGGTCCCTCGCAGCGTTGTTAAGAGCATGATAAGACATTTCGTTATGGTCAGAGTGAATCCACCGGGCACCGAGTGCAAGCTTACGCGTGGAGGTTGTATGGTTCTCGTAAGTTCATGCCATTCGGGTTGGAGCAAGCAAGTAGTTGTTTTATTATCTTGCACACTGAAAGAAAGGTTGTACTTGACACATTAATTTACTTGCTTCTACTTCGTTTTCGTCCTTGCTCATAGCCTTCGACCACTTTATAGATTAATAGTTTGCAACCAGTCATTCGACACAACCCCAGTAATAGTTCAAAGATCGTTTCACAACCACTTTAGTAGTTCTTCTGACCTTATGGCACGTTGTATAGACCATCTGTGAGCATATGGTCCCGACCAACCTGCGCTTCGAGAAAAGCTGAGTAGAACTCAATCACTTCAAAGAAAAACACAAAAGTGTTATACAGACGATTCACCCTTGCTACCAACTGAAGAATCCGTCCTTACGACGGCGATGATGATGGGGACCGCGTGTTCTGTAGAAATAAATATGCAACCAGTCTAGCTTGCTAAAGCTAGAAACAGCAGGTGTTTCATCAACCATCCACTATTTTGATTCAGGAAATGAAAAAAACTTTGTTATGATGGTTGATGCGTGGAACGGTAATCGAAATTATTTAATATTACATTTATTTTCAGAAAGTGCCCGAGGGTTTCGTCATCCCAAACCTTTCCCATCGTGACTATCGCAAGCTGAACTGGGGCCTGTCACATTTGAATCTACCGCGGACTACCTTGCCCTCAGCCCTTCATCGTGCTGTTTCAATGACATCCTCTCAGTTGCGCTGGCGACTAAAGCCCGCGGTAACTGAGACAGACTTGGAACGATTGACACACGAGTACCGACATTCCGGTAGTTTACCCTTCTGTCATGAAAACACTCCGTTCGTTTCGTCCAGGACGACAACATTTTCGGTTCAACGGCGAATTCACAAGCTTACCAGAAGTTCGGTTGTTTTCCTCAATAACAAAGACTACATGCAGAGCCTGAAGTTTCATATACTTCGTGAACAAGCCAAGAAATCTGGGGAAGCGTTCGAAGCTGGAGACATACATCCGCAACAATTTTTCCCAAACTGCAAGCCGAAATTGAAAAAGAAAACACTGCCAACTGAACACCTAATTCAGATGATCTCCCCCGGTTTGCCGATGCCCTATGTGTGCGACAAAGATACGCAGGCCACGGGTTCGGGAACCGAAAAACCGTTAAGAAGAAAGGAGTCCGTCGGTTATTTTCGTGTTGGAGGACCGAACAAAAGCCCTCACTTGGGGACAGCTTTGGACAACGAGGATCTGGGTGGACCAGCAGCTGATAAAGCTTTAAATGACATCTATCTTCGTGCACAGGAAAGTCCAGAGCCAGTCTCTATGCTGATGGAGCGGATATTCCCAAATAACAGTCAGATTGCAACACTGTACACACTGGCCGAGAAGGCGCTGCAAACTGCTGTCGAGGGATCGGTGAATAGGTACAATATGCGATCAGCAACTCCAACCTGCAGAGCTGCGAGTGAGGCACGCAGGAAGCGCCATACTCAACGGCCCTCTTTGCCACAGAAATCCGTAACTAAACTGAGAAATTCAATCAATTCCCAACTTCCGTGGACTGCGAGCCAGTAGGCGCCACAGGAGGGACACAGATGTAAACCTGTCTTCATGATTCAAGTATGACATGCTTTATGTAAAGCTCATTTTCGATCTTGATACATTCACTTCCTTTTCAACATCTATTTCAACCAACTTGTACTCTTAATTTAGTCCGTTACGTTCGTTTCCGGTTGCAAGCTTAGTGAAGCATTTTATATACATTTTGCTTTGTCAAGGACAGGGTTTTTGCTTTCAAACACACTGAAGTGAACAGTGACAACATTTTGATGGTGATAATCAAGCAGTCGGCTAATGGCATTAATAATGATCGTCCAGCTGTAAGCCCTTTTGGTGCCCAGCTGCCATGCCACAAGAAGAGAGTTAACCAAACCTAGACAGGGGAAGTCGAGGCGCAGAGGTCGAGTTTGAACCACGGACTTTCCGGTCAGTAAATTCGCGTCCTAACCGATTGAGTCATCTTGGGTCAATTGCAGTGTCGCGTCTAGTTATGGGGCAACTAACGGAAAGAGGAAAAAGCTCAATTTTAAGTGAGATGTTGGTGTTAATTGGACCGTCATTATGCTGAGTTCAGATGAGGGCTGTGTACAAGTGTCCTCTAAGCTTCAATGAGACTCGCAAGCCGTGACGTTCCCGGTAGTTCGCGAAAATTTTGTGCTTCTCAACTGAGCCTAGGTGGCCAAACCAATGTTCCGAACTGCCACCGTCGAGAATGTCACATCCATTGAAAACCTTTAGAAATCTACCCCCGGAGGTAAGGCCACTTCATGGATTTCAGTCCAGAAACAAAGCCACGGATACTCCAACGTCCATGGACCAACTATCTTGAAAAGTCACTTTATGTTCACGAGGTAGAACTCCTCTACTTAGTGGTGAACTAGAACCAGGGTGTTTTTTTTAAGTTTGGTGACAATCGGTAGATTTATTGCTGGGCAACGTTTTGCTTTTGACACAAAAGCTTCGTCAGGTCAAGTGACCAGAATCCGAGGTTGATCGAGATTTAAGGCGGAATGAGAACCAACCAGCTAAGTCAAGCTAAATCTCTGTTGGGTGTCGGCCGAGGGATTTTAGTGTGTTAGAGTGGTTGAACAAGTGTTGGGTCGGTGGGGAAACCTACATGTGTTTGGGTCCTGCCTAGGGTCTAGTTCTTCTGGTTCGGTTCATTTGATGGTTCCTCTTGAACTTCGTTTGAACCTTCTGTTAGTCTGTGTGGGTGAGCTAGTGCTAAGAAAGTTGTGTAGGAGGGATGCTGTGACCTTTGGTCGGTTGGGGTTTCCACCCCTACCCCCCGGTTTTTTCTAATGATCCTAAGTGGATTGACAACCACACCGTCACGTGTCAACTCGGCTTATCTAAGACCGCTTTCCATACGCTCGCTAGCTCCACACCCTCGATTCTATTCACGCTGTGATGCTTAGTGATTTCCACCGCCTCGGCTATCAGCCGTTGTGGTGTGAATCGCAGTCCCCGTCTTAAGACTTCCACATTCTCCAGATCTATTCTATGTCCCGTGTCTAAGGCATGTACCGCCATCGCTGAGTCTTTGACCAGCGTTTGGTATTCTTCTGCATTCCTTGGTGGCTTGTTAATCCTTCTTTTATGCTCACCAATTCTGGTGTGCAATTCCCTGGCAATTTATCCTATATAAACCTTAGCGCAATCGTTGCAGTTAATTTTGTACACACAGTCCCTAGTCCTTTCAGCTGGGGAGGGATCTTTCATTTGCACCAAAACTGAGCTGAACCAGTGTGAGTTCATTCTGACAGACAGTTATTGAAGTGTATGAGTTTGAGGAACAGCCTTCCAGTAAGACAAACGGATGAATGCTGCTTATGATTCAAACCGAGCCAGACATTCTATGGAGGGCGCTGTCTAGTAGTTACACCAGAGTTTGCTGTCGTGACCGACTGCCAGATAAGCCAAAGCATCATTTTTCTCTGTGTGCCCTTGATTATTCAAATTATTTGTCTTAACAGAGCACAGGGCCCACTCTTGGGGGCCCATGACCGGTTTTTTTCCTCTTGAGGCACAGTCCTCTAGTTCCTGTCCACTTCGCTTCGATATTATCTTGTTGATACCACTTGTCTGTAGAACCCAGACTGATAATTCCTTGACAAGTTGCTATGTCAGAACATTGTGTAATAGGATGGCTACTCACTCTCCCCAATTGTGTAACTAGTCAACGGAACTAATCGATGAGGGAGGTCACGATGCATAAGTACATCCACATTAATTGAAACCACTTTTTACCATGTTACTTCCGAAAAAGTTCACTCACACCAAACAAGAGGCTGAACATTCAAGCTGCGTTTGAACTTCCGAGCTTCCCGTGTTGCAAACCTCTGGGACCTTGATCTCCTACAAATCCTGAGTGTAATATATCCATGGATGTTTTTACTTCACTCTTGTTGGCAACCGAGTTTATAAACTAGAGACTCTTGAGTCGATAGACCCACCACCAACTCTGCTCGATCATAAGCACACTACGTTTTTACTGCAGTTCTAAAACTTCTGAAAATGGTGTCATCAAGTGATACGACAAAACAAAATAAAATATTTGCTCATCTGTAACATCTTTTCGATACTAATGCCCCGTTATTCCGCGCAGTCTAAAGTAATCCGGCGTTTCACATACGCCACAAGCACGAATGTTTAAATTATCGCATGCCACTGCGAGACACTCGACCGAACCGTGAAAAAAGGCGGAACTAACAATGGAGTCTGGATTCATCTGCGCTTGACCGATTTGGTTATAGCAACCATTTAGTCAAAACAAAGTTGTTTTTGAGGCATTCCGAATGAAAAAGCGCATTTTGTCTCATCCTCTCCTTGTCTGTTGACAGGTATAGTCTTAGCTTCCTCAGCATTAACTTCGTTGCTGTGTTTTGAACAGGCAGTTATGTTGATCGGGTCCTCACAATCGTTGAACGGATCAGGATCTTACCGGTAAGGGGCAATAGCTCGGAATTCACTCGACCATTTCCGGTCTGTCACCTTAATGAGTAACTCAGTTCGTCATCAAAACGATGGTTTCATCAACATGTGATGGAAGGCGTCAAATTGCATGAATACGTCATTCTTCTCAATGTCCAAGAAGTGAGCATTTCGGATGCATTGAAACTCGTTCACCCCGATGGAAGGATTCGATTTTCGAGGAGAGGACAGGTAGTTTCATTTGCCAGAACACAACTATTGGGCGTGTTCTATACTTTAGCTGTGCCTTAGGATGAAAGAACTTGGGGTTTTGTGCCACATCAAGCACTGGACTGATGCAGTGACCCAACCTATGACAAACCTTCCAGTCTGTCGGACATTCATCTAAGATAAAACCAGAGTTTATTCATTTTCGAGAAACTTTGGTAACAATCCGTAACGTTTCGCTTTTACACCAACGCTTCCTAAGGCCAAGCGACTATGTTACGAATCGGTCAAGATTCAAGGCGGAAGGAGAACCAATCAGCTAGGTCAATTTGAGTCAGGTGTCGGCCAAAGGACATTGTCTGTTAGGATGGGTCAGTGGCCTGTGGAGCAGTATCACAACAATTTGATGTCGCACAACAAATACTAGAAAAGTTTTGAACAGCAGCATGCTCTGATGTATGACATGCCACCAGTTCTTTGGCCTGTGGAGCAGTATCACAACAATTTGGTGTCGCATAACAAATACTAGAAAGGTTTTGAACGGCAGCATGCTCTGATGTATGACATGCCGGCAGTTCTGGAATAGAAGGCTGTAAAAGTTATACAGTGGGTGTCCGTAACGACTCGTTGGTTGTCTATCCGTGTGATCTTTGGTTGGTTAGAAAACTTTCTCGCTCTCTGTGCTGTCGTTGCCGTGATAGGTGGTATGCGCTTATTACGCAAACGTTGGCAGACACTATACATTATGTTTACTTCAGCGCCACCAATTTGTCAGTTTTCATTACTAGCGTCCAGAAACAATGGACGTCCAGGTTACGTCTTTTCATCACTTTGAAAAATTCGGTGTCAGTATAGCGTTAGTTTGGGAGACTCGATGGAGTCCCTCATGGTGCACAAATATTCATCCATGTAATATGCGGCACACAGGCTTCACGAATTCATTTGACGAAGTTTCTGTAACCTGATTACTGAAAATCTGCAGACTATCGGTTTTGCCTCTTTTGAGGTTCAAACAGGAGACGTGGTCCCCGCTATCTGGGACAATCCAGAACTTTAGCATGCATTTGACCTCAAACTGGAATGCTCACCTCAGTCAGAGTCGGGTATCCCAGCCTAATGAGCCCCAAATAGGACAAAACGGGTTGTAATAGACTGTCTGTTGCCCACACTGGTTATATCGAGATCGCAGTGTGTCTTATCAAGGCTTTTCATAGCATGACGTTGAGATTGTACAGCCAGTTTTATTCACATTACCAAACCGGTCTGGTTGCTAAGTTGGACCAAATCGTACCGCATGCAAATTTCTCATCCCATTTGATATTTCCTGTTCATCCATGGGACATGACTCTGTTAAAAACGCATTGGGCTATTGTTCTGGCGCTTGAAACATGCGCGCGCACTACAAACCTGCTATTTTCACCGACATTGATAACAAAAGATTTAGGCGGCATGCGCCGCCCATTCCACAAAGTAGTCGGGTGAAAAGTCATTCGAAAAATAGCCCTATAAACAGCAATGGTAGGGCGAACAATGCAGGCTACCGTCCTGAAATGCACATCAGATATCGGAAGGCTGATAACACTGTTTTCATTTCACACCAGCTGATTCTTCACTGCAGCTCCATGCATCTCTGTGAGAACACGATTAGTGAATACGGTTGGAATCCAATTTGGGGCGATGACCGCGTGTCATTCGTCCACTGTGTTCCTGGTTGATAAATGCTATTGTGTCATCAAGCAATGCTCAGTAGTTAAGGCACGAAATTAATGACTGCGATGTGTGGTTTGAACCCAACCACAGCATCTTGACAGCTCCTTTCTGGGCTCTGGCAACCTGACTGTATCTCAGCCCTCCAGTGGCATGGCAGCTGAACGATAGTATGGTCTGTCGTAAGAGTGTATCCTTGTGTCCACATAAGTTCCAGAAGCAGTAATCTTTCTGCGGACATTTTACGAGGAAACTGGTAGTTCCGTTTACTTCAATGGAAACGGTGCGCCCGCTTTGACTAAACATATGTCTGGATCGAGCTATTTTTCTTGGAAAAACTGA